GAAAAATCTTTAAAATAAAGACAAAAGTCAAAAACATATGCCCACACTCATTAAATCTGGTTTTCTTAAAAATGTGCAGGTTACATTTTGAAGCACATCTACACACTTAGTGGGGGCCTTTAACAAATAAAATGTCTTTCTTTAAACTAATGTGCATCTCTGATATCTTCTAAAGACAGGACGGAGTGGTCATACTGGGCAAACCTAAAGATATGTGCAAGAATTTAATTTCAGTCAACAACCCCCCACTGCGTTATTTAAGCAGGGCAATCCGACTGATTCAACATGACTGCATGTGAAATTGCCCTCTTGGCCCAAAAGGCGATAAAAACCACAGCAGGAGGTAAGCAGACATATTTACAATCTGCCTCCGAACCAATCAGCTTCCCTCGTCTCTTTAAACACTTCAAACAGTAGCTGCAGAGAACAGTGTGGAAAAAATCTTGGCACCGGAAAAAAAAAAAGAAAAAGGAAAATTCCCTCATGTGAAAGTACGAGTAACTTCGGCAGGAGAGCACTGTTCATTTATCCTCCATCATCGGGGACGTTTCTTCCCACTCTTCCTCTCCTCGCTTGTCTCCTTTTCAGAAACGAGGAGGGTCGAAGAGGAGGGCGGAACGGTCTCTCGCTAAGCCAGAGTGTCTGGCAGTGTTTAAGTGGCACACGAGGACCTGTTTCTGTCTGCCAAGGCAAATTCATTGTGGAGGCAGGTGGGCCAACACACACACACACACACACACACACACACACACACACACACACACACACACACACACACACACACACACACACACACACACACACACACACACACACACACACACACACACACACACACACACACACACACACACACACACACACACACACACACACACACACATACACTCACACTAACACACACTAACACACATCCTCACTTTAGGACACAGACTTGTGTGTCCTTGCCTTTGTCTCTATGCAGGCTGGCAACCAAAGCAACCAGCTACCGAGTCAGTGGGCGCAAGAGAATCACCATGGCAACCAACATAGTGGGGCCAGGCTGTGGCTGCTCTTGGATCAGTGCGGAGAGTTTTTTTTTTGGGCTTCCATTCAGACGCCGGAGTCGATTATAGAGTTCCTTCTCTTAAATGTTGTTTTTCCGCATCGGCCGATGATCTCATGTGCAGTTTTTTTGTATCTCTTTGAAAAATAGACAAATATTCAGAGTAATAAAAAAAAACAAATGCAGCTAGGAGTTCAACAGAAAACAAAGGAAGAGAGAGAGGCTCATGATAATATCACGCCCCCCCCCCCCCCCAGTACTCGCACAATTAACCTTGTTAACATGGCCCACAAGATCTAGTTCAAACACACACTCATCCATACCCTGACACACACACACACACACACACACACACACACAGTTATTAACATAAACAATCAGCCACCAGGGTAGGATTTTTTAAACTGATCGACTAACACAGCAGTGAATGACAGTTTGAAGTCTGAAGGTGGAGTCCACATCCGCTCCCTGGCATTGTGTTTGCATCTGCGACGTACGCAAGGCATAGGCGGGTCCCGGCTTTTTAGTCGACGGACCCGGGGTGCAGGCTGAGCGCGGGAGGGTCCAGACAGGTGGGGGAGTAACTGAGGTGAGGTTCTTTAATCCACAGGAGGGGGGCGCCGTTCTTGCCCTCTTGACTCTTGCTGTTGCTGCGGCTCTTGTAGCGCACGAACAGCAGGGCGATGAGGAGGGCGCCGAAGATGGGAAGGGTAGAAGAAGACGAAGTAGAAGAGGGCGTCGGTGGAGCAGACGACCGACTTGAGAGTGGACACTGTGGACGGAGGAAAGATCAGAATCAGAATCACATTTATTGTCCAGGTATGCTTACACACACACACAAGGAATTTAACTTCAGTGAACTGAGCTCTCTTATGAACAGGTACAACATTAAATATCAACAATAAACAGAATAAGAAAAGACTAATATTTACATGACTAAATATGAAACAGTGCAGTGGTGAAGAGTGCAAAAGATGCTGAAGTAACATGATGAGTAAAATGCAGTTATGTGAAAGATGGGTCATTAACATGTTGATTACAGTATTTACATAAATAAGTGTGTATATCATTTAAATTAAATAATATATATATACAGATATGTATCTTCACAGTGACGGTTGGTTTAGAGTCATTTCACCGTGGCAGGTCTGACACTCTGTGACTGTTTAGCGTTCATCAGAGAAACAAAAGACAAAAATCAGTGTCAGAGTTTCTTCAGGTATGCCAGAAACCTTTTTTTTTTATAAACAGGGTTCATTGAGAAAGTCAGAGAAACTACTGACTCCTATAATTGGTATTCATTCAGTTGTTGACACTGGTGAACAAATCTATCTGAGAGCTTAAGATCCAAGTTCAGCTGTTACAAGAGTCTGACAGTCTGAGTCTACAAGAGTCTGACTGATACGGGATTGTTGGGGTCGATACAGAAACCAGCCTGACTCTGCGGAGAGAAAACAAACATAAAAGTCAAACATTAACAGATCTTCCAGCTGATTTAGTGATGTTTTCAGCTGGAATGAAACTAGATCTTTTCTACATGGATAGATGGTGCACTGATTTTACACCCATATGACTATGCTAAGGTGTTTAGAATAATCTCTCATACAAGCAGCTGACTATTACAGATTTATTTTTATTTTTTACACTTTTCAAGATGAAATCAGGGTCAATGTAAAAATTTAAAAAATTGCATTAATCCTATGCTATTTTGTCCCTTATGATGCACTGTAGTCATCGCCTTCCTACAGCTGCAGTGATCATTTCACTTAAAAATATCTTCCCAGACAGCTCAGTTGACAAGTCAAAAGTAATATGCACATCTATTTTTTGGGCCATTTTTGCCATTATGTGATAGGACAGCTGAAGAGAGACAGGAAACGCTGGGAGTAGAGAGAGGGGGATGACGTGCAGCGAAGGGCTGAGGTTGAATTCAAATCCACAGCTACTGCGGCGAGGACGACAGCCTCCGTACATGGAGCACATGACATCACCTCTAGGCCATCAGGCTCCCCAAATGTTTCCCTGTTTTTAACTGTGTCCTATTTTCAGATTTTTGATCAACCAGAAGTTCCTTATTTTATTTCAAAATAAAAGCAGGTTTGCATCAAAACCGGAAGTGAAGAAGAAGAAGATGATATCTCTCTTCCAATTCCTCAATTACATTTTTCACTCTGTTATTGAGACACAAAATGCTACAGGACACACACAAAGGCTAAAGTACCCTTATAGCTTTAAAGAGAACAAAACACAAAATAAAGGAGGCACAACAAAAACTATTTTGAAATGCAAAATATTGGCATTTCATGAGATTAAAAATTTAAATTATCGCAATTAAGTATTGAAATTCAGTGATTAATCACGATTAAAAAAATAAGATAAAATCGCACAGCACTAATGTATACACTCTGTCAACCAATCCTAGCGCTATCCTCTGCAACATGCTGCAGACAGTGACACTTGGTGTTACATTCTAATACCATTTTTATCATACGTGATTTGTTGATTAGATATTATACGATAAACGTTTTTTATTGTACAACTACAATTCACTTAGCAGACTCTTTTCTCCAAAGCGACGTACATCAGAGAGTAAGAACAACACAAGCAAGGATCTAGAAAAAAGGGAACAATGTGAGTAAGAGCAAACGATCAGCTTTGAGTCTGATTGGACACACAGGTGCTGACAGGAAGTGACCAGAGGCAAAGCACAACATTGAGGGCAGTTCTTGAGAGCTCTAATCAGTATAGAAACCATCTTATAAGTCGTCGTTATCAAACAAAAACCATCGTCATTACCATCATCATCATCAATAATATGGAGACCATCATCATTAAGTTAGTAGGTATTCATGAAAGAGCTGGGTCTTTAGCTTTTTCTTAAAGGTGCAGAGGGACTCTGGAGTTTTATCAGCTCATATTATAAAACATATGCTGATCTATCTGTGAAAGGCCAATGTACCTGTCAGGTTCTACTGTTTACACCATTAATCACTTAGCTTCAGGGCTAATCAGCCTGTAGCTCTCTGTCAATCTCATTTTTACAAGGTGTATTCCTCTCAGCAAGAGGGGAAGGCCACATCTTAAGGGCAGGGACGACATAAAGAGAGTCCACGAGAGATCTTTAATTGGCCAGAAACATTATTACATGATCAGTACTGAACCACAGAGGGAACTTAAGGATGGTCAGTAGCAGCAGTTTAATTCATCTTGTGCTTTATGAGCCTCTCTGGTGTTGGCGGTTTGATATTAGAGGACAGCCGTCGATGAAAGTGGACCTCATTAAGGACTCACCTTGTTGCAGTACATTCACGATGGTGAACCCGGAGTTGTTGGTGGCCAGGCGGTACCATGCGTTGCGGGGGTTAAGCAGCCACTCCTCCACATGGCAGTAGTAGCGACCGGCGTCTGTCGGCCGCGCCCCCTGAATGGTCAGGCTGTACTGGTCCGAGGTCATCCTCTCAAACTGCAGCCGAGAATTTGGCCCCGCCTCCTCCCTGGGGCTGCAGTTCCCATTACCGAAAACTGCATCATGTCCGATGGAGAACACGCACTCTCGCCCTCGTTCTTCATCACTCGGCTGGTCCACATCGTCCTCGTCGTCCTCATCATCGGAGCGCTCCACGTACCAGGACACAGAGAAGCGGGAGTCCCGGGACGACTGAGAGGGAATGCTGCAGCCCAGCCGGATGGAGCTGGACTCTTCCACGGTCACATTTGCCTCCAGTTCTTCCACCTGCAGTCGAACCTCTGCAGAGATAAAGACCGATAAGATGAGGAAGAGAAACACTGAGAAGTTATGAAAGTGAAGGTATCAATCAATCAATCAATCAATCAATCAAACGTTATTTATAAAGCACCTTTCAGACAAATTAAACTGCAGTTCAAAGTGCTTTACAAGAGTTTTTTACTTTATTGATGAAAAAAAGTAGTTTATAAAATCATTGAGAGACTAATGCACACCAATAAGAATTAAAAAAGTATAAAAATGAATGTCTTGAGGCTTAAAGAGCACAAATCAGATCTTTTTTTCCCCCTTCAATTAACATTTAAGACCGCTGTTTGAGAATCTATTTGTTGCTCAAAATGAATCAGCATGAATTTTAATTGATTCTTTGATTTTTTTTAAATAAAAAATGCTAAACCATTTTCTGGTTGAAGCCTTTCAAATGTGATTTTCTGATTTTCTTTGTCTGGTATTAAAATAATCTTTGTGTTCTGATCTGTTGATCAGACAAAAAGAAGCAAATCAAAGATGTCAGTCTGGCCTTTGGGGAAAGTGGGCGGGCAATTTCCATTCTTTTCTGACATTCTGTGCACAAAATGAGTAAATAATCCATATTATTAAATAATCAAAATTAACTGTTAGCTCAGGCCCTTATTAGACCTTCAAATTACAAATGATTTTTTAAACAGTGACAACAAACTTTTCCAAATATGCAAACAAAGGGCAAAAATAAATATCTCCCACAGCACAGCCCACAGCTATCACCAGTCTGTCAGCTTCCCAGTAAGGCTAGATCCCACCCTGAGGCCAGTGTGTCTGTCTGGGCATGCTACAGTCCTGCAGGGTTTGGTACAATGACCCAGTTCTGCTATGGCTAAAGACAAAAAAAAAAAAAAGCTGGCCTGCTTGTGCTCCTCTCACACTCAGTTTGGATCCGTCTTCTTGTTAAAGCGAAAATGAGAAGCAGAAAAAGACGGCGGGGGAAAAAGGCGAGTGCTGGCACACGTCTCTACTCATCTTTTTCTCCTGACGGGGAACATTTCTGGATGACTTCCCGATGGATGCATTTTTTAAGCACTTTATGAATATCCATGGTGTTTGTACAGCATATTCTATTCATCATATGTGCATGTTTATGTATCATTAAAAGAAAAAAAAACATTATAATATGTATAACCCAGGAGGGATGTGTTAACTTTTGGATTCAAAGTTGAAACTAAAGAATTAAAAGTCAAATACAAGGAGGACAATTCACTGATCATAATCAGTTTGATGGCTCAGTGAATCGATGGAGCAGTGTTGGTATCTGTGAACATCAGGGGGTTTGTGCCCCTTCTGGCTGATCAGCACAAAGTTTGATCCTCACATTTAAGTTGGACGGGCGCCATGTCAGGTGATTCACCTTTCACATTATAAAGAGGAAACAACTTCTCTCACACACAACTCCAAGAAGTCACCTTTAGCTCGCTTGTGTGTAGAGAGAGCGCCACAGGAAGGAGTCCTAAAACCAGGAAGTAAGTTAGCATGTTAGCGCCATGGGGTCTAACGTCTAAAAGTCAACGGGGATTTTGAATGTGTTTGTGGTTAGACTCCTGAAATAAGGTCTGTGGTGAACACAAGCTGAAGAGATGTTGGTGTTTTGTTAGAGCACATAAACTACGTTAGGTAATACCTCCACTTGTGAAGTTTGAAGTTTTTACTCGTCTTTAAAAAGGCGGTTGCTAACAAGCGGCTAAATGTGACTACAGTGGTTGTCGGGGACATTAAAGGTCATCACGCCGGACACAGAGGGCGGGAACTCTCTCACTAGTCGGAGATGTCTCCTGTAGGTTTAATCTTTAGGTTCAGGTCAATATTATGTTAGTAAACTATTTATTAAGCTACGTGGATTAGTTTATCGGAGATCGTCTGAAGCATAACGCTAGTGACGTCACAATCATCCCACCGTGGCGTAGTTAGCTTGTAGCATAACGTTAGCTTTTTACTTCTGTCGGCCACATTAACTCTTCAAACATCATAAAAATGGCGTTCATCTGTGAAGATTATCCTGCTGAACAAAACGCCTACGCTTCAGAAACGTGTGTTGAACACAGAGATTATTTATTAATGATCCAAAATCCAATGAAAACATCCCTGAGGAGATTCTCATTAGACGCCATGGTGATGCTACTTCCTGGTGGCCTACAAAACCACGTCACATGGTTTGTTCTCTATTGACTTGTGCAAAAAATGAATGTCAAGGAGGGATGGGTTGTCATTATTTATTTGCTATTGGGAGGTAGGGAGTTTTATTATAAAATCGGAGCTTGAAGCAGCTCGGTGAAGGAGAAGAGAAGAGCTGTGAGATGAAGGGTATTTAAGGAAACAGTCCTGAGGTGGTGATGTCAGGGTTTTGGGTGACAGGAGGAACATCGTGCTTTTGAGCGCTTTAGAAGTTTTTGAGTAATGGACAAGAGGATTAGATCCTCCATCTGGGCCAGACTCTACCTTCTGGCGTTGCATACGACAGCTGGCAACACAATTTCTTTTTTGCCACCTAGGTTCTGCTCGGGTGTGCAGGTGGATGGTCACGGGGGCGAGACAGCCTTGATGCCTTTAGCAGAGTTATGTGAGAGTGGGAGGATGTGCTATTTGGATCAGGGGAGGGGTCAAGCATGTTTAACTGGTGTGCAGCAGGGCAGCATGTGGGGGCTAAAGTGTGTTTCCCTGCAGCTTTGACCTTCCCCTCACCTGGCTGTCTGACCAGCACCTGCGTGAACCCCGAGGACTCCCTGGAGAGTCGATACCAGGCTCCGTCTGGGTCGCTCAGCCACTCCTCCACCAGGCAGTAGTACGTCCCCGAGTCGCTGTTCTCCGCCCGGTTCAGCGTCAGAACGTAGAGCCGGGGCGACAACCTCTCCGCCTGCACTCTGCGGCGGAGCCTCTCCTCGTCTGCGTAGGCGCCGTACTCGAACGCGCCCGATTTCTCGATCCTCAGCAGGAGCTCGTCGGCTTCCGACCCCGTCGCCCGCCTGACGTACCACAGCACGGCATGCTGGGAGTCCTGGCTGGTCTGGGAGGCGATGGAGCAGTTGATCCTCACTCGGCTGTCCTCCAGGTACGACAGGGATTGGTTGGTCTTTTGCACGCGCAGCTTGCTCTCTGTGAAGAATCAGAAAGGGAAGAAGGAAGGAGAAAGAAGAAGACAAGTCATTCCTCTGGGGTGCAGGGAAATGTGAGCAGCGCTGACAGGTACACAATGCAATTTCTGTTTTGTGACAGACGACCTGTAGCTGGGTTTATTTCTGGTGGCAGCAGGGCAGGAGAAGATAGTGGTATGTGGGCGGGTAAAGCAGGTGACAAAGAGAAAGAAAAAGACGCATGCTGGGAAGAGAAAAGGAGGAGAGAATGTCAGGAAAATCAAAGCAGAGAGGATGGGATGTCGGTTAGTATCAGGAGTGTGAGACACGGTGCAGAACAGGAGGAGAGGCAAGGGTGAAGGGGAGGGCGATGGATTGTAACTCAGGGCTTTGGGTGTATAATTAGAGTAAGATACAAGACAAAAAAAAATGGGCCAAGAGTCTGTCAGTCTGCTGGAAAGAAAAGAAGAGGAAGAAAAGTCAAACAAGGGCAGGAGGAGAGGAGAGGAGATGATGGAGGAGTGTGACTGAGATGTCAGGAAGGAGCTGAGTGCTGTGACAGGATTCAGTTACAGGGACATCAGGTTTTTGGGATAGGATTAGCTGCAGGTACATCAGGTGTGACTGCGACCAGGGCCCCCCAAAAAAAGAAAAAAGCTCGAGGGGGGGGGAAGGATTAGTTCAGTTTTTCATTCCATTAAAGCAGCTGCATCTTACATTCAACATTCGAAGACATAACTCAGGCAACATCACAACTGAGGTCATTAAGAGATATTGAAGATGTGTCTTAACCAACCACAAATCACCAGAGTGTTCGCGTGCACTCAAACAAACAGCCCACAGCTGGAGTCAAAAATGAAAGATTTGACTGGAACTGACAGATCCAGCGCACACCAACCGCTATAAGCAACAGCGATCCTCCTCACCCTGAACAATAAGCTTTTGATTGGAGGCACTTTCTAGTGTTGACATGCTGACAGAGAGCCAAGAGCTGTTTGTTGGCTGAGCCCATATTGGGGAAACAAATTCCCTTAATTGATCTCAGCAGCAGACCCACAAACTGCAGAGTGCCATTTTGCCATTTTGAGTGGAACGTGCTATTTTTGGATCAGAGAGCTGATGTGTGTCAGATCTGTCAAAACAACATATCAGGTGATTTGTGAACGCACACAACCGTGGATTAATACACGGGACCCTTTCATATCTAAATTTGGACAAAAAATAAAAACAAAATATTAATTTAATCTTAATTTGCAGACTTTAGTAACAAATGTGCATTTAAGTATAGAAGTATAGTATAGAATAGAATAATATAGAATAGAATAGATGTTACAGATATATATTGATAGATAGATAGATATTGATTTGCACAGGTACAGGACAGTACAGGTAAATTGGAATTTTTGGGTGTTTCTCCCTGAGTCAGCTTCTACAAAAAAGTTTAAATTATACATGAAATAGAATTATAAGAAAAAAGAGTAGAAAAATACAAATAAAAAAAAAATTGTAGTAAAGCTAAGTAAATTAACATAAACTGTACAGAAGCTATACACTGTATTAAAGCAAAGCAAATATATAATATATAAGTCTTTATACACTAGTTTGTAGAATCATTTATTATACTTTTAAATAGTATTCATTCTCTCACCTATTTCCTATTTAATCAATTTAATATTGGAGGGAAATTTGGAGAGCTGCTGAATCTTTTAGGCATTTTTTTTAACTGCTTGTGTCAGCCTATTATATTTTTCCAATGTCATTTTTTTTAGTTAAAGGCTTTATATGTGATGTTTTGATCCAGCAGATGTCGCCCTTGAGCTCCAGCATGAAACCAAAACAACTGGCGCTGCATTGTTGTGTTAGCATGCTAATGCTAGCGATCTTTATTATGCTGGTATCTTCACACTGCATGTAAATTGACCTGAAATGAGCGTGATCTAGAAACACAGTTAAGCAGTGAGTACAGTATGTTATTCTTCTTTTCTCTAGTCCCTCAATTAAACAACTTTTATACACGAGGGGAGGAGTCAGCCGGCCGGCCGGGCGATGTAAACAAAGTGAAGATAGGACTCTAAAAACTCTGAAAACATCACAGACAGTGGGACTCGGGTGTTACACCCATTGTAGACAGTCATGACTCACAGAGTTATTTTCAGAGGAGATACTTGATTTCTACATTTAAGGGTGAAAAATCACAGAGAAAGACTTTAACATTTCTTTACACCCAGAGAAAAATCCTCATTGTCTTTGCAGTACGGTTTGGTTGTTATTTCACTCTCTTGATTTGTCTCTAAATAACATTATCATTTTTACTTTAGTTCATTTTAAAGGAGGTGTTTGCACATCTGACTACCTAATGATGTCATGATCTCAGCTCCTTATTCCTAGAGTTTCTGTGTTGTGCCCCTTCCCTTGAGTGTGTGTTGCAATTTTAAAAATATGAAATATGAAAGAGTTATTTTCAGAGGAGATACTTGATTTCTACATTTAAGTGTTAAAAATCACATTTAAAGACTTTAAATGAAGAAAAGGCTTTATCTGGAATAATGCTCCTAAATGTTAGGTATAAAAATGTATCGATGATATTGGCACTAACAGTCAAGAATCAATTGGCAATTGATCTCAGAAATCTTCAAATGATATAAACAAGCTGAATGTGCTCTCTAACATTTCTACATTTAATGTCACTCTCTTAGTT